ACAATAAATCAAAAAATTAGCCAGGCATGGTAGTACACACCTGTAGTTCCAGCTACTTGGAAGGCTGAGGCGGAAAGATCACTGGAGCTCAGCATGTTGAGGCTGCGGTGGCCGGAAGCATGCCACTGCACTCCAGTCTGGGTGATGGAGTGAGACTCTGACTCAAAAAACAAACAAACTTGGTTTTCTTTATCTGAACACAAGGGCAACACATAGTAGCGCCAATAATTCTTTCCTATGATAAAATAAAAAGTACACAGGTAGGCATGGCTTTTAAATTAAAAGAAATAGATACATGTTTATATTGAACTGTAATCAAGAATAATTATGGTTTGACTGGTGGTAACTGGTTTTTTCCCCTAGCATCCTTCATATCCGTTAATTGTAGTATGCATAACCTTGGCAATTGTAATGTATAGTTGGAGGCTTTGAGCAAATACAGTATCACCAATTTATGCTTGATAGTACCAAGACAAAATTCGTTTTTCCCAAATATTGTTATTTGTGTTCCTTTATTTGTATCTTGGCTACTAAGATAGACAATTTAAATTTCTTGATGACATTTGAATTATCATTTCAGAAAACTCTTGTGTCAAATAATATACAATCAGGGATCAATATGAAAAAGGATCTTTATTCATCACTATTTATGGCAAAAAATAACAAATAATAAAATCTTTAAACTTTAATATTGACTTATAGTTTCTCGCATATTCTTGGGTGTTTGTATTTAATCGAGGTGCCCTTTCCAGATGTCTTACTTTTTATGAGTTTATGACCACACAAGATGAATTTTAAAATTAAGAAATATTCTTTATTTCTGTTGTTTTTGTTTTTTAAAACCCTGTTCTAGGTCTACTTGAAGATTTTTTCTTCTTTGACATACAAATGGCGGCACCTAAAATAACACCAACAACTACGACAACCACTGCTACCGACAACACCAGGGCAACAATATTAATTCCAGAATTATGGTGATTTTCATCAGGACTAGGATCTGCCTGAGGGATGAACAAAGCTACTTGTGCAATGTTGGACACTTCTGATGCCAAATTGCTTTTATCTATACTTTGAATAGCAACAAATATGTGAGTTATATTTTCTTCTGAGATATTTCCTGGTTGAAATGCAAAGGTTTCCCTGGAGTTGGCTTCCTTTGGTGACAGACCAGTAGTGTTGATTTGAAGAGCATCATCAAAATTGTCTCTTAAATCAAGGATATTTCCACTTATTCTTATGATATACTGTTGAACTAAGAAAAAAAGGTTACGTGTAGTTTAGAAACTGGCGTATAGCATATCATTCCTTTTTGTTTATTCTCAAACACTTTAAGTTATGCAAAGCATATACTCATATCAAAAGCCTTATTCATTTAAAAATAAAACCTGAATTCTTTTTAAGTCCTGCAAAATGCTACCTTCTCTGTATGAAAAGTTGGACCAGGTTAAAGTGTGTCATGTTCGATTGATTAGAAAATATCAGATTATAAAATTAATACTTTGCTGAACTGTCAGTTAAAAATGATTCTCCCCCTCCCCCAACTTTTCACCCTTGCTTTTCAGTGAGCACTTTTCATTGTGACGCTTTGTTCTTACCTTGTCCAACATCAAAATCATCTCCTGGTGCTGTCCATGTTAGAACGATCTCATCCTCACCAGGCAGGGCATCGAGGTCTGTGATTTGACTTGGCGGGTACAGGTCAGGCAAGGGAAGACCTGGGACTTGTGATACCACAAACGCTCCTCCAGATGCTGTTCTGCTGAAATTCTCCAAGGTTGTCTGAGTATCCTCATCAATTTCAGGTCTTGGTGGGTTCGCTTCAATTTTCCCTGCATTAAACATTTCCTGGTTTAGAATGGGCAAAACTGTGCTAGTCTTTTTTAGAATTCAGTGAATCACCTTCCCAATTCCACTTGTCTTTTCCTTTACTTTCCCTACAGATAGTTACATTTTCACTAAGACCTGTGACACAACCATAAGCATCCAATTGTTGGAGGAGTTCTTCCTGTAGTGTCCTTACCAGGATGCTGCAGGACAGAATCAGACAAGAACTTGCTTTGGAATGAAGACTTCACTAAATGGGAATAATATTCAATATATGTTTTTGCAATTGCTTTCCCTCTTGAATCATTACCAAGCTGGGACTATAACTGGGAAAAATTATTGCCAGTTCCCTTCCAACCACTTGTGCCGGGTCCCTCCTTCCCTGGTACACAAGTGTTATGGTATAATTCTTCAGATTGTACTCCAGTTGCTAACAGAAAGCCTCTAAAGGCACAAGATAAGGGATCAGATAAAGGAGAGCTAGAAATGAATGCATTTTTTCTGTTGCTAGATTCCTTGCCAGAGGCAATAAGTCTAAACTTTGCTTTCTAGACCTAATTTTTTTTTCATATTGTCTAGATCAACTATTAGGCCATAAATGGTGCAGGTGACTGTAATGGACAGTCCCAGAGAGACCCAATATACTGTACCTATATTTTGCTCTACATATTATCTTTTGACTTAATAAAAACATTCCAAATAAATGTTTACTCTGAGGCATATGTTGTCTGAAAGATAAATTCTGCCACTGGCTTGTACTTAAGCTCATAACCTATTGGCCTGTTTCCTTCATCCTGAGCTGAAAATTGGGTGTAGTATTGTTGATATAGGTAAGGTGTTCCAAACTAACATAATAATAACTGACTTTTTCTGAGTGTTTCCAGGTGCCAGGAATTGTACCAGAGCTTACTTTGGAGGCAAGACCTGGTATGACTGAGAACGTCATCCCAGAAATGGGAAAAGTTATACTTTGAGTTGTAAAATGTTTGAAGCTTTAATTATATCAGATTACAGATTTTATTCAAACTATCACTGGATTTCAGCTATCACGAGTTACTCACCATCCACTACCCAGCCTGGTATGTAGGCAGCTTTATTCAGTGGACGCCGTAAGCTTCGTGTGACAGAGTTTGTTCCTCCATGAGCTCGTACTTTCAAGCTATATCTGCCATTTTCGGTATATGCTGTAAAATACCTTGAGTAGACCCCATCATTCTTGAAAGAGTCAGCACCTTGTTATGGAAATGAAGGAATAAATGACTGTAAAGCAAAAGAGATGTGTGTATCTTCTAAGACAAACATTGGCTTCCATAAGCATATCCCCTAGATTGGGCTCAGTGTTTTGAGATTAACCCTCTTGGGAATATTTCCATTATGTTCTGCCAAAACAATATATTATCGAATTGATATTCTTGAGTTATTTTGATATCTAAGTATTATATTTGTATAATACACATATGCACATTGATATTTGTGTATGTATAATACACCTACATGCCTCACCTTTCTGTCCTTATCAATTTGTGTACAGATTATTATATGTAGTACTTGTCCTATTATTTCTGTGCCAATTGGTTTGCTTTCAACGTACTTTATCTAAACACATTAACTATGACATTCCTCTGTTTAAATCAAAAGGGTTCCTACTAAGGAAAAGGTATTTTTGTGTACTATTTAATTCTCACTACAGTCAACTAAAATTACTTATTTTACTTTATATTCAACAACTCTTTTTTTTTTTAATGCTCAGTTCTTGCCTTTTGATCCATTAATTACCTAGCCTGACAGTGAAAATCCCTATCTGTATTAGAATAAACATTTGCAGGAATTTAGGATTATTATATCTTGATATCACCAGCATTGAGTCACCTGCTAAATTGCAAACACATTTGTTTCTTATTCTTTCTTTTTTTTTTTTTTTCTGAGTCAGGGGTTTTGCTCTGTCACCCAAGTTGAAGTGCAATGGCATAATCATGGCTCACTTTAGCCTCGACCTCCCGGGCCCAGGCAATCCTTCTGCCTCCGCCTTCTGATTAGCTGGGACTGCAGACACGTGCCACCATGCCCGGCTAATTTTTTGATTCTTTGTAGAGATGAGGTCTCACTATATTGCCCAGACTGGTCTCAAACTCCCAGGCTCAAGCAATCCTCCTGCCCTGGCCACCCTAAGTGCCGAGATTATAGGCATGAGCCACTGCCCCTGGCCTGCAAACACATTTCTTAAGGGGTTTAACACTTTAAGACAGACAATCTTAAAGTGAGGTCCTTGAACCAGCAGAATCTGCATCTCTCTAAAAACTCGGAGATTTTTAGAAATACAAATTTCTCCAACTTCCTAGGAAAGGGTCCTAGCATTCTGTGCACCAAAAAGTCCTCCAGATGAATCCTGTGCACATGAAAGTTTAAGGATGCCTGTCCTATGTTATTCTTAATCACCAGTACCTCCATAGGTAAAGGCATTCTAAAATAGCTAATGTCTCCAATTAGTTAAATAGTCACAGCAAAATGTTGAGAAATGAAACAAGAAGCAGGCAAGTTTTAACGTCATATAAATAATTTTGCAGAAAAGAAAAAGAGACAAAGAATAGTTGTAGAAATATTATATCTGGAGAAGGTATTGAAATTTTCTTAGGGGTAACTAATGGAAGATATGACTTAAAAATAATTGAATAAATTACATTGCAAAAGGTACTTATAGAAAGCTTTGCTAATTCACATGGTCATCAATGTGGTTATTTTCTTGCCCTTTAACCTCCTAACAGAAGGCTCAGTTTCCAGAACAATCCAGAGTCTGAAGAAAAGCTCTTTAAGCACCACTCAGCCATATAGATCACAGAGATGGAATATGACCAACACTGTTTCTGGCTTCCTGTCAGTCAGATCTGGTATTTTATGACCCAGCCGTGACTCCTCCTTCCTTATGGCAGTACTGGCTGCCCCTGAGCTGCACTTCTTAGGACTCTGTTTGTACTTTGTTCCAGTTGTTGAGAATTACTCCAGCTTCTCTCCCTTTCCCTGCCAGGGGCCGGAGTTCTACTACTTAATCACATCTGGCTTGTCTGTGCTTCACCCTCTCTGGGTGGGCTTTCTTGATGCTGTCCTCAACCTCCTGAATGAGACTTTCCTAACAAGTGACAGACATTGGTGGTCTAGATTGCAAACAAAAACGATGACAATGAATAACATTTATTGAACGCTTACCACATGCAAGACATGTGCTAAGCATTTTGTAGGTTCTGCCTGGGTAGATTTTCCTGCTGGCCCTACTGTTCTTCCTTAAACTTTTGGTGCCTGTTTTACTGACCCACATTGCCATGGAGACTCAAAATAACATCTTGCATTTGGAACATATAGGCTTATTCATAAAAACTTGTGAATTACCTGCACCATTATCCAGAAGTTCCAAAACTTCTGTATTTCCACTCTGTGATTCAATGAAAGCAGTCACATTGGCTCCAAGAAGGGGTACATATCCTTGTAGAACTTCTGCATATATAATCATTGGGCTGGGGAAGCTGTTTGTGTCTTTATTCATTTTAGCATTCACTGTGATTGGAGGCACAGAAGAATTTGCTGCCCGAGAAGTTACTGTAATAGTTAATGTTTCTGGGTTTGCTTTGGCTTGAAGATTGTAAGTCCAAATGCCCACCTAAAAATTTCCAATGGAAATGTAGTAAGTTTTCAGAATCAAGCTATTTTTAATGTTTCCATCATGCAATTCTAAAATAAGTCTTTTAAGTGAGGGGTGGATAAACAGGATTTTTAGGGATTGGAGGGTAAATGGATAAGAATTCAGGCAGTTCAGACAGGTCACTCCAACTGGTGTCATGTATGATGTCTATACTTTGTGACATTTCAATGGGAAAAAATGAGTTTTAGAAAGTTTGCCTTGGTTTTGGCCTTATTCTTTGGCGTCAGAGTGCACAGATTCATTGATCCTGGGAAGGATCATCAGGAAGGATTCTAGCTCTTTACTCACCAAGTTGCTTAGACTCTTCCTACACTTTTTCCTTAAGGTCTGTCTTAGACTACCTTCTCTTCTTTTCTGCCGAGACAAAAGTTTTCCCCCCCTTTTCCCTGCTATTACACTTTTCAGGATCGCACAAGCATAGAAAGGACATACTGTTTTGTCCTAATTTTAAAGCTGGTATATTGATATATTTATGACATTAAATAATCTATGTCCCGCTGAAAAAGATTTGACAGGAAGTCTAAAAGCTGATTTCTTACCTTTGCAGTTCCTGGAATACTGAGGTAGGCCATTTTGGAAACTGTGTCCACTGTGAAATTTCTCATTATTGTGCCACTGGGATCCCAGAGAGAAATAGCTGGAGGCTGTCTGCTCCATGTGATGAGGAAGAATGTGTCCTTTCCCACTGTGCTATCAATTATTACAGTGTCATTCATCCAGGGATTGCTGCTCAGTGTTAATCCTCTGCTTTCAAGCTGTTTAAATATATTTCAAAATTAATGACTGCAAAAGAGAGTCATTCTATTCTTTTTTGAAGGTAGCTCTTAATTTCTGTCTTGTGAACAAGCTTATACATGACTTTACTGCTGTAGACCTTTGATTTCTCTGCAAGTTGATTAGGATGTAACAGTTGTCAGTGAGAAAGTGAGGGAGTCTAGGGTCTGAGGAAATGACAGAATATAGTAAAAGACTTAGAGCAGGAACATGGGTTTTCCAGTTAGGAGTACGACCTTATTATTTTTTTCCCAGTTGTCTTGCCAAGCACTCATGGATATTTCCCTGATGTAGAATTTGAAATAGTTTTTTCACACAGAATAGAGAGAGTAGCACTGAATGGACAGTAAATACGTTCAACAAGAAAACAGACTTGTTGCATGATGGTTGGACTCCTGAGAAGAGAGGAAGTGAAACACAGAATCATTCTTGAGAGGAGCATTAAATAAAGTTTTTTAAGTCTTTGTTGATAGCTTTTAGTCCAGAGGAGTCAACCTTTTTAAAAAGATATTTATTTTTTTAAAGAACAAGAATTGTATGGACTTATCATGTGCAATGTGTTGTCTTGAAATGTGTATACATGGTGGAATGGCTAAGTCAAATGAATTAACATATACATCGCTTCACATACTCACCATTTTCTGTGTTAAGAACAATTTAAAATTCACCCCGTGATTTTCAAGTATACAATACCTTGTAATTAGCTATAGTTGCCATGTTGTTTAATAGGTCTCTTGAACATATTTCTCCTAGCTAACTGAAATTTTGCAGCCTTTTTTTTTTTTTAATTGGATTCTCACTCTACTGCCTAGGCTGGAGGGCAGCGGCACACTCACAGCCAACCACAGCCTCGACTTGCTGGGCTCAGGCGATCCTTCCGCCTCAGCCTCCCAAGTAGCTGGTACTACCGTCATGTGCCACCACGCCCGACTAATGTTTTGATTTATTATAGAGGTGAGGTCTTGCCAAGTTGCCCAGGCTGGTCTCAAACCAGTGAGCTCAGGCAATCCTCTCACCTCAGCCTTCCAAAGTGCTGGGATTATAGGCATGAGCCACTGTGTCCAGCTATTTTGCAGCCTTTGACCAACATCTTCTTAACCTCTGTACCCCACAAGCTGCTAGTAATCCCCATTCTATTCTTTGCTTCTATGGGTTTAATTTATTTTAGATTCTACATGTAAGTGAGATAATATAGCCTTTGTCTTTCTGTGCCTATCTTATTTCACTTAACATAAAGTCCCAGGAGATTCAAATTTATCCACTGACCTAGGTGCTTCCTAGGGAGTGTCATTTTAGGAGCAATAGGAAATTCCAGTCCAGTCCTAAGCCAAAAACAGCTTCAGTTCAGTGCTGATAGAAAAAAGTGAATTTTACCCTGAAACACCATTGCCACGCCCCAAATCTCCCATGTCCTCTGTTAAGTGAACATGTCTTTGAGTGGGCAAAATATTATTATAGAGTTAAATCTAAATGTGAATGACTGTTTTGACTCCCCAACAGGAAAGTCTAAGAAAATAAGAAGGCTTTGGCTGTATAGTAGTACTAGGAAAAATAACTAAGTCGAGTGTAGGTTGAGACATTTTTTTTCTGTTCCAGCTGCCACCATCCAAGCTCAAGTTTTCATCAGTTCACATTATTGTAATATGCTTCTAACTGCTCACTGTTTCTCCCACACCTACACATCATGTATGTGAATCCAGACTAACCTTGCAAAAATTTACTTCTTTTTGTTATTTTTCTATTCAAGAACCTGCCACAGGCATTTTAAGTGAGAGGAACAAAACTTTCTTCCTGATCTTTCCACTCCTTTGAAAAAGTCCACTCTCAAAACTTTGAGCACCTCCTGCACATAAACATCTCCTTTTTAGCTAATTTCCCATATTCTGCTCTTATACTTTTGAGTATCTCTGAAATGTCCCATTTGGTGTTTCCACCATCCACTTAAAATAACAATACAAAATGATACCCTTAGAATCAGTTCTGTCATGCTTCAACACTGCTGGTGGGAATGCAAACGAGTGCAAACTCTTTGGAAAACAGTGTGGTGATTTCTGAAAAACTAGAAATTGACCTTTCATATGATCCAGCCATCCCCCCACTGGGAATATACCTGGAGGGACTCAAATCATTCTACAAAAAAGACACACATGTTTATTGCAGCATTATTCACAATAGCAAAAACATAGAACCAATCAAGCTGTCCATCAAAGCTGGACTTGATTAAAACAATGTGGTATATATACACAAAGGAATATTATGCAGCCATAAAGAAGGACAAACATATGGACTTTGTAGCAAATTGGATGGATTTAGAGACTATCATACTCAGTGATCTATCACAGAAACAAAGAAGAGAGTACCACATGTTCTGACTCATAGCAATTATCATAATACTGTAAGAAAGGGTTTGGCAGTAGTGGGAAACTGCTGGGGAATGGAGCACACCTCATCAACAAGGGCACCTGCACAATGAACATTTGTATACCTAACCCTGAATTGTACCCCACATCTTTAAAATTTAAAAAAAATATTTAAAAATCAGTTCTCTTTCCTTGCTTGTCAATTTCAGACGGTAGAATTATCATTCTCTCAGCCAACCGGGATGGAAACCTCAAGAATGACTTTTAGTCTCCTTCAGGTGATTCTCCACACTGCCAGGCTAGCTCTCACATCAATTTTTAACCTGTTTGCAGGGTAGATCTACAGACCAGATCTCCAAACCAATCTGTGCATACCCTAAGCCCACAACCTCTAACTTCTGTTCTTTTCATTGTTGGGAGGTAGAGGAAAACAGATTTGTTTAGGTGATCATGGCAAGTTTTAATGTAGGCAGAGACTCGAACAGGGAAACAGAAGACAGAAATCTTAGCATAAAGTGACGTGGCATAGACTTGTGGGAGTGAAAAGAAGAGAAACAGATTTTCATAAAAGATATTCGGAGGTAAACTGACCATTGTTCATGGGACATGAAGGAACAAGGAGAATCCAAGTTTTTGAATTTAAGTATTAGAAAATGGTGGTGCTATTGAGACCCAGGAGAGAAAAATAGTTCAGAAGAGAAATGAATAAAATGAAACACCAGTGAAAAAAGCAGTTAAAGGGCGAGAGAAGCCTTAGGTGTGTAGACAAATAATGATTATTCACGCCTCTTTCTCTTGCTTAATTTATTTCTAAGATACATTTCTTCCACTCCCAAACCAGGTTTTGAGTTCATTTGTCTAACTTAAGTCCATTTTATAGCAGTGTAGGGTGAGGAAAGCTTGGAAGCATGAGAATGTTTAATGCGCTCATTGAAAGCATGAGAATGTTTAATGCGTTTATTTTGGAAAAAGCCTATTTTTGGTGGAAAATTTGACATTATTAGGTTTTGAAGTTATCTGTAAACCAAACCCTATAGGAGTAGAAAAAGAAACAGTATGTCTGCCATTTCACCAATTAATTTGGTTATATCTAAAGAGTAATTTCTATTTCTGATTGAAGTTTTGATTTTAATTAAAAATTCACTTTGAGAAAAATAATGGAACTCAAACCTTAAAACCACCAAATTCTTTTTTTTTTTTTTTTTGAGTTGGAGCCTCACTCTGTCGCCCGACTGGAGTGCAGAGGCCGCTCCCGGCCACCACAGCCTCAACCTGTGGGCTCCGGCGATCCTTCCACCTCAGCCTTCCAAGTACCTGGAACTATAGGCGTGTGCTACCACGCCCGGCTAGTTTTTTGATTTATTGTAAAGATGAGGTCTCACCAAGTTGCCCAGGCGGGTCTCAAACCCGCGGGCTCAGGTAATCCACTCACCTCAGCCTCCCAAGATGCGGGATTACAGGCTGAGTGAGTTGGAGTCTCACTCTGTCGCCCAGACTGGAGCGAAGTGGCACGTTCCCGGCCACAATAGCCTCGACCTGCTGGGCTCCGGCGATTCTTCCCCCTCAGCCTTGCAAGTAGCCGAATTATAGGCACGCAGTAGCACACCTGGTTGTTTTTTGATTTATGGTAGACATGAGGTCTCAAGCCAAGTTGCCCAGGCGGGTCTCGAACCCCTGGGCTCAGGCAATCCACTCGCCTCGGCCTCCCAAAGTCCTGGGATTACAGGCTAAGCCACCGAGCCCGGCCCAAACCACCAAATTCTTATTATATGTCATGGTAAATGCAAATATGAAAACCCAAGAGTGGGACCTCTGACCTGAAGCGACTTCTGAGAGAGATCTGCATTTCCTGATGTAAGGGATCCAAAAGCGTCAATGAGGCCATTGTTCTGGGCTTCATCTGAAGCATAATAATGACTTCCTCCTAAAATGAACATGCATTAGTTAGATTGCTTTCCAGAAAATAAATAATTATTATATTTTAGTGGTTAAAAAGGTAATAATCTAAACAAAATTATAATTTCAGTGTGTTGCTAAAACAGACCAAAATCACATAGTTGTAAAGATTAACTCTGTAATGTTCATTTTAAAATATCACAAGTAGGTGAAAGCTACCATAATACCTCAGAACTGAAATCTTAGCTAGCTGAAATGCACCAAATAACTGTAGAAGATGAAAGATATTAGAATTCCCTCTGTTGAAACTCCAGATTTTACATACTCTTAAGTGAACTATTCATTTTAATTTAAGATACAGTTCTAATTAAGTTGGCTTTCAGATTTTCCAGTCAGAGTAGATCAAAATCAGAACATTAGAAAGATTAAAGAGCTGCTATATTTAGCTATCTTAGCAATAGCTGGCAATGAGAAGATAGAAAAATAGAAATCAATAGCGATAAAAGTGTACTACTTTCAAGGGGCTACTTGGAACAGAAATAAATTTTACAATGGCTATAACAGCACTTTGAAATGATGGGAGTTTCTGCAATTAAACATTAAGAAGCACGTTTACTCTCCTTACTTATCAATTTCTGACAGGAGAATTATCATTCTCTCAGTCAACCAGGATGGAAACCTCAGAAATGACTTTTAATCTCCTTCAGGTGATTTTCCGCATTGCAAGGCTAGATCTCACATCAAGTTTTAACCTATGCAGGGTAAATCTACAGATCCATATAATGTGGTACCATTTGATGATAATTCAACACAGAAATTGATATTCATGTTATACATTCTGTGTCCTCTGCTATGTTTAAGAAAGTATTAGAAACATATAATCTGTTTTCATCACATGAGTCTAAAGTAATAGCTACCATAGTGAATGTTTATGTTAAAACTTGGTTGTTATTTAGATCTTTTCAGCTTGAGCTTCTGTTAATCACCCACGCCCACTCACAGACAATACTATGGCCTCATGGATTTTTCACCATTCCTGCCATGGGCCTTGCATTGTCATCCCAACATGATTTTTTTTTTCTTTCCTTCAGGACCTTTTTGTTATTTTCACTCATGATCTTTTATTACCATTTGCTTTTCTTCCCAGAGAAATTCAACACCTTGTTTAAGGTCCCACTCAGAAGTCACGTCACCTCTCACGCCTTCTTTCCCTGACTCTATACAACCCTGGGAAAGTTAGTGGCTTCATCTGCTCACATAGAACTTTATTCTTCTGTAATCTTCCTGTTATGAAGGAATGTTTCTGACGATGTCATTTAATTAGCAGTTTCATTTGTCTCTCCAGTCAATCAGACTCTTGATTGTCACGAGAAGAGAGCTTGGGCCTGGTTTGACTCTGGTATCTAGCTCCTGGCACAGCGCCTGCGGGGTAGTAGCTTTGGAGGAGTGGTTGAATTGTCAACCTCTACATTTATGCCTTGCTGCCAGAGGACTGGAATATATAGACCATGTTTTACCTGTCACATTGCTCATCTCTATCACTGCTTGGTCAGCAGATTCTCCCAAAGCAATAAAATGAACGATGGCTCCACTTTGTTTCACTTCCTCAATACAAGACTTTGCGGTGTTATCTTCCCCATCAGTCAGCAGAACGATTTCCGAACCATCTAGCTGAGAGTATAGCTTTCTAATCACCTGCAAACATAATTCAGAGCACAGTTACCTTCAGCTGTTCCTAGATCAAATAGACCAAAAAGAAATTTTTTAAAAATTACAGAGAAAATAAACACAAATATACAGAATAAAAGAACCTCTGTTTTAAAAAAATAGGATTTCCATACTCAGTAATCTATCATGGAAACAAAGAACAGAGTACCATGTCTTCTCACTCATAAGCAGACCTCGAACGATTATCATAGGCCAGGCACGGTGGCTCAAGTCTATAATTCCAGCATTTTGAGAGACTGAGGTGAGAGGATTGCCTGAGCCCATTGGTTGGAGACCAGCCTGGGCTGCTTGGCGAGATCTCATCTCTACAATTAAAAAAAAATTGGCTAATTAGCTGGGCATGGTGGCACATGCCTGTGGTTCCGGCTACTTGGAAGGCTGAGGCAGAAGGATCTCCTGAGCCAGCAGGTCAAGGCTGCAGTGGCCATAAGCATGCCATTGCATTCCAGCCTGAGCAACAGAGTGAGACTCCAACTCAGAAAAAAAACAAAGAACAATTATCATAATACTATAAGAAAGGGATTGGCAGTAGTGGAAAACTGCCAGGAGAGGGAGGGACACACCTCATCAACAAGGGTACTTGCATGATGAACATTTGTATACCTAACCCTAAATTGTACCCCACATCTTTAAAATAAAGAAAAAAGAATAAAATTATAAATCATCACATGTTGAAATTTAAAATAAAATCAAACAAAATAATAGGATTTCCAATCAACAATCCTAGGGATAAGTTAAACATGAACTTTTTTTCTGACCACCCCCCTCACTCCCAACCCCCACCGCCACTGTAACAAAGGAATGAAGTTAGGTGGTACCAGGCTTTGGAAAATCATGCCTAGACTAAATGACAGTGACAACTCAACCTGGGAGACTCAGGTAAACCAGTCGCCAAAAGTGTAATTGCAGTAGGTGGCATTAAGGCATTAAATATTATTTTTGTTTTCTTTGACTGAACTACCCTCTGATAGACAAGGCTTCTGTGTATAAAGTCTGGTTCTTGAACAGCTAGATGCGTTAAGAATCTACTTCAACATAAAGAAGTCAGTGATTACAAATTAGGAAACCCTCAGTAAGCTTATAAATAAAAGACATGGGAAGTTTGAAGCATGTTGAGGTTAGGGACCGTGCTATGTAATTTAAATTTACTTCTCTTTTTATTTTTTAGTTGGAGTCTCACTCCATCGTCCAGGATGGAGTGTAGTGGCATGCTCACGGCCACCCCAGCATCAACCTGCTGGGCTCAGGTGATCCTTCCTCAACCTTCCAAATAGCCGGAACTACAGGTACGCACTACCACACCTGGCTAATTTTTTTATTTATTTTAGAGATGAGGTCTCACCAAGTTGCCCAGGCTGTTCTTGAACCTGTGGGCTCAGGCAATCCTCTCATCTTGGCCTCCCAAAGTGCTGTAAATTTACTTCTAATAGTAACTGGCACAGAGCTAAACATATTAATGATGCTCAAAGAACACATGAATTATATTTATTGAGCTCAATCTGCAGATTGAATCCCTTTTTTATATGCAAAACCGTTTGAAATTCAAAGTTTTGAATCTAGGTGCCTACAAGAGGACAAAGAGAACTTAGCTCAGGATAGCAACTGCACTTCATTTTCTCTGACAGCTTTAATTGGTAGTGGCTTCTAGGAGCACCATTTTGAGAAATTGCATCTAGACCAAGGGGCAAAAAATACAGGATTATCAACGACTTTCTTGGGCATGGGGGTAAGTGTGTATAGATTTACAGAAGAGGGTTTGAAATGTAGAAATCCCTAAGAAAGCTAGTGTCAGGGGAAAGATTGACCAGCCTCATTACCAGTATTACATATTTTGAAGTAAAGAATGACCACTATATAAATCACAATAAAAGGGAATTATGCTCTGACAGGCATTGAAACCAAACTGAAAAATAGGAAATGCTTTTATATATTTATGGCATTTCCAGCATTCTTATCACACTCCTCCCACAAATTTGAGGGCAAAATGTAGATCTAAAGATGCGGTGGTTCTCTGCCCTTCACCTCTCCTTCTCTTGTATTAGTTATTTTTTATTTTTATTTTTTGAGACAGGATCTCACTCTGTCACCCAGGATGGAGTGCGGTGGCACGATCATGGCTCACTGCAGACTCGAACTCCTGGGCACAAGTGATCCTCCTGCCTCAGTCGCCTGGCTAATTTTGTATTAGTTATTCACTGAGCACTTACAATGTGTCAGTCACTAGACTGGGGATTAAGTAGGAACTACATTCCTGCCATGGAAATAATTGAGTTCAATTTAATAATATGTATTGAGCTTTGTGTCAGAGACTGAGGAGTTACAGAGAGAGGAGCAAACAAAGACAAAACTAATATACATATGGCAGAATATTCTATAATTTAAGAGAGATGACAAAATATTACAGTGCTACCATTAACTGAACATTTACCATATGTTAACTATATTTTCTGCATTATGTAACTTAATCTAAGTCCAAGCTCCCAAATTGTCTCACTATTACCACCCTTACTCCCTACAATTGATATTGTTTAGGAGTCATCTTCTTAAAACATAAATTTTTCATCCATCTCTGATACTTGAAACCCTTCAGTAGCTTTCTGTTGTGCTTGAAACAAAATACGAGCCTCTGAAATTTTTGGAAGCTTCGAAAGGTCTATCTGTTGTCTACCTCTGCAAACACATTTCATACCTTCCTCCTTGCCAAGCTCTACTATCAATAACTTCTGTCATTTCTTAGAATAATCCAATTCTTTCCCTCCTTTCCCAAGGAGCTTTGCAGTTTCTGCCTGAACCACTGGCTCCTTCTCATCCTTCACAAGTTAGCTTAAATGACAACTTTTAACCCTTTATCTTTTTTTTTTTTTAAAGTGCTACTCACTGCTGCATTCATTTAATTTTACATGACATGCTCTTTGAGGCTGAAGCAAATCTGGTTTTCAATGTGAAAATAAAATGAAAACTGTTCTTGGAGTTATTTCTAAACAGAATGTGCCTCTAATCCTAATGAGAATTACAAATGAGGTAGAGGAGGAGGAAGAGGGAATTGCCAAATTTTGTAAGTCTCTCTCTCTCTCTCTTTAAATCTTGAGGTAAACATTATAGCTGCAAGCACCAGGGGCAAATATCCTCGGGTTAAATAGGGAAGAGATTAAAGGTCATGGAGACATCTCTGCCTAACATAATTTCCCTCCTGTCCTGGTTACTGTATCACGTCATCCAGTTTGGTTTCTCCCCAATCCTATCTCCACAATCTGCAACTGTGTTTTAAATTTAATTCTGTACTATCTGTTCCCCACTATGTAGAATGCACCACAAGAGTGAAAAAGCTTTGCTTGGCACATAACAGGTAGTCAATAAACATATGTTGAATAAATTAAAACATGAGCAACCCTATGAGCTGGTTTGTGTTATCCCATTTTACTGATGAAGTAACTGGGGACCAGCGAGGTTAAGAATCATGCTTAGGGTCACAAAACGAATAAATGACACGTGTGATTTAAATGCAGCCTACATACTGCAGATCTATACTAAGATGTCATGCAATTCATGAAAGAGAAAGATTCGGTAGGGTTGGGGGTAAAAGGAAAGTCACATAAAGAAGAAAGGATTTTGAAGGATGGGTGGAATTTTAACTTGCAGAGATGGGAAAAAAAAGAAGTATTTTACACTGAGAGATTGCATGTGCAAGAAAGACACAGAGGCATTAGTATACAGTGGCCTTGGAGAACAATGTGTGTGGTAAAGGTTTGGAGGATAGAGCATCAGGAGGGGAGAACTGAAAAAATAAGGCAGGAAACACAGGTGAGGGTTATTACATTGGGCAGGGGAGACTTTTCAGGAATATCAGACTGAGGATATTAGGCTGAATTTTATAGACTGAAGAAACAGTGATGGCTTCTAAGCAGGAAAATGACATAATTGATATTCATTATGAGGTCAAGATGACAATTTGGCTAAAAATAAGATTCATAATAAATGTTATTGTGTCCCAAAAGACTGAAATGTTAGCCTAAGTTTCATAGCTAATAAGTAGCACACTCCGTACTCTGATGTCAGAGTCCATGCTTTGACTTGTATGACTTACTCTAAATGTGACAGACAGTCCCTACTACAGTTGCTGTCATAGGTAAACAGTTTGCCTTAACTGAATGTTACAGAAACCAGACAAGAACTGGCCCAAAGTGGAATCATACTATGTAACTTGGTAAGAATTTTCTATAAACAGTAATTAGTGTTGTTAAAGAAAATAGCTATATTTTCAATGGATAAAATTGAAAAATATAGTTGTGTGGAAAATGGGATACACGTAGTATAGTAAGGAGCACAGCCTGCCCCAGAAGTTGATGGCTTTTGCACCAAGCACAGTTATTTCACTAACATTTATCGAGTGTTGACTATTGCATGGTAACAAGACAGCAAAGTCCCTGACCTCACTGGACTTGTAAGCTGGTGGCACTTTTATAGTCATTTATTCACCGACAGTTTATTTGTTGATTTGCTGGTCTATTAAAAAAATCATTGAGTGAATTTTTTCCTTGTGCTTAGTTTTGTGCATTTTAGAATTCATCGTGTTTAAATTAGGCAGCGACTATGTGCAACATCACTTAACATAAAAATGTCCTGAAAACAACGAGAAAGGAACAACGTATATTTGCAGCACGATTTTCACCTGAAATGCAGATCTAATTCCAGAGCAGATGGAAGTTCCTCCCTGAGCTTTTGTAGGCAACCTCTCCAGGAGTTGGTTTCTTTCCTTGCTGCTTATTATTTGGATTAGCTCATTTTTAACACTAGCAATGCTGTCAAAGTGAACCATCCCCACCCAAGATCCATTTTCAACAGTCTGCAGCAGGAAGTGTTTTGCTGCTTGATTCATCCTATTCAAGCGGTCCGAAACCTGCATAAAAGATAAGAAAAACAACCAAGTTGTTTTTGACTGGAAGATAATAGCAGATCGCATAAAATGAGTGAGCAGAATTTATCAATAAGAGTTTTCTATGAAGGCATTGGCAGTGGTGGGAAACTGCCAGGGGAGGCTGGTGGCAGGACTGGCAGTAGTGGGAAACTGCCAGGGAAGGTGGAGACATACCTCATCAACAAGGGTTCCTACATAAATGAACATTTATATACCTAATCCTGAATTTTACCCCATATAATTAAAATACAAAATTAAAAAAAAAATAATTTTCTATGAATAGTAATTGGTGTTATCAAGAAAGTGGTTATATTTCTTCAATTCTATTGAAGGTATTGTGATTGATATATTTACTATAAATATGAATATAGTAAATATGTTCAATTTTATTGGAATTTAAATTGAAAATTGAAAAATATAGTTGTGTGTCTTTGGGGACACATATAGTGTAGCAAGGTGCACAGGCTTTTAACTAGAGGTGACTCTTGGCTGCTAAGTACCCAAGTCAGAGGCAGAAGGTAGAGTGGGGATTGAGGTGGCATTGGCCTTGATGATTCCCATCTTAGAGACTCGCTACTCCTGAGAGCTTTTGTGCCTGTTGTCTTCAGATGATACCATATCCCAGAGCCTACAAATCAAACTAGGCTATCCAGGACTCTAACCAGAGACCTTGAATCACTCCATCTGCTGGGGACGAGACTGCCCAAAAGGTAGAACTTACCCAAGCTTCATCAAAATTCTGAGAGGCCAAGTTCCTGTCTCACCCTTTCCCTCTTCTGCTCCTAACTTCTCCAGTTTCTTTTTCACCAATGAGTTAATAGGAATTGGCTCTTTGGCAAGTTAGCGGACACACATTCCTCTTTCCTGGTTGATTTTCTAGGATGTAAGCTTCTTAACGCCTATCTTCTCCAGTCTTTATCACCACATTGATCTGTGGTACTCCCCCAACCCAACTTACACCCAAATTTCCTTCTGAACTTCCTGAACCAAATCACAATGAGAAACTTCTCCTACACATCTCCCCATATTCTAGGGCTCTCTCCACTACCTTGCTTTACCTTTAAACCTGGACATACCTACACCCTGTCTTGGAAAGGATGCTCGTTTTCCTCCATTCAGACACCTCATCTCTTCTCTGTGACAATTCCTAGACCACTTGTCTGGGCCAATGGCTAGCACTCTGCTGCCCTCTCCGAAGCCCTGTGTTCCTGTGGCTCATTTCATTCAGATGTATCATTCTCTGCCCTTTTTAATGCCCCCTCCACCTCTTCATTTGCTGAAGACCTTATTTCTGTTCTTTCTTCCGTCTCAAATGTGCCAGGCTTCTAGTTCCTTCTCGCATTACATGAGCTTGTTCGTAGTTCATTCATTTCAGCAGATATTTATTGATCACCCCTACGTCATGAACTCTGTTCTAGGCAATGGTGATACAAAGATGAGTAAGATATGATTCCAAGTCATAAAGGACCTCCTAGTCTAGTGGAAGAGAAATGTATAATATCAATATACTATACAGTAATAGAAGTCTGCACAGGGCAGTTTTGGGAATCAGTAGTAGGGCCTTAGCCAGCCTAGACACTCAGCCCAGCTCCTGGAGCAAGTGATTGGGATTAGGTTTTTAAATTATATTGGTATCTTTCTTTTAGTGCAATATTTGGCTGCAATATCTTGAAGTCATGATCATAGGCGATGACGGTACTTCATGTCGCCATGAAATTTACAACAATCCGGGTCCAGAAAAAAGGAACTTACTGACATGCTTCCAGACTTATCAAGAACCAAGCACACAGTTCTTTGACTGATCCTCAGCAGTGAGAAGGCAGGTGGAGGGGGTGGTGCCTCCATAGGTATGGTGTTTTTGAGATCCTCAGAATTGCTGATTACTTCCCATGTACTTCTGAAATTGCACTTGATATTTTGTAGGCTTGGAGCTTCTCGGTTATGGTTTTTTTCATTACAAAATTCAAAGACCTAAAATGTAAATTAAAATGATTGGAAAAATAATTGTAATATACTATGCGTTAAAATCTTACCACAAACCTGAAAAAATCAAAATATATTCTGAAAATATGTTGTTTATTGAGTGAAATATGATTCACTGAGAATCAATATTATGGTAAGGTAGGTTTACCACAGTAATCAGAATGGTAATAATAATAATAAGTAACATGAATTCAGCACTTACTATGTGTTAGCCAATGTTCAAAGAACTCCATATCAATATATTTAATAGGTCACCTGGACAGAGGTTTTAAAAACATGACAGTATGTCTTTTGATTATAAATTCTGAAAGTAATTCTCAACATACTTACAGAATCAATACTTTGCATAAACATTATGGATGCTGTTTCTGTTTGCACGTTATGGAGGAAGAATTGACAATCTTTTTCATATAGTTTTGTTGTAGAATTAGTTCTGCATGTTCTAGTAACACAGCTGTCTCCTTGACACTTATGAACTCTATTTATACCAGAGATACCAGAGGAACACCTGAAAATATATGACAGTTACTTTTGGAGACATCTTAATCAATAACACTTATAAAAATCTTAAATGGTTCTATTCATGATGACCTTTGTATCAAGATGTTTATTTTTGTGTGTACCATGTACTTCCTATTCTTTTTTTTTTTTTTTTTTTTTGAGTTGGAGTCTCACTCTGTTGCCCAGGCTGGAGTGCAGTGGCTATTCTCATGGCCACCGCAGCCTCGGCCTGCAGGGTTTAGCAATCCTTCTGCCTCAGCATTCCAAGTAGCTGGAACTACAGATGCATGCCACCATGCCCGGTTGGTTTTTGTGATTCATTGTAGAGACAAGGTCTCACCAAGTTGCCCAGGCTGTATACTTCCTATTCTAACAGCAAAGTTTAAGGGTTCCAGTCAAAGTCATTACCTATTTTTCAAGAAATTCTAGAGTTAAATTTGAAGTGGGATCTCCAGATATACACAGTAGTTAAGTTGTCTGTTGATATTAAAACTGTTAGTCTTCTGCTTAGACATCTCTCCTGCTGCCTTGTGGTGGTTCATATGCTGCAGACACCTGGACGTGGGAACTTGTAAAACCCTTTACTCTGAGTACCACTTTAGCTTAAAGTTCTTTGTAGATTATTTTTCAAAGAAGATATTCCCAAAAGAATGGGACATGGTATGACTTTAAGTGTTTTGATTATTCAAGGAATATTTTATTCAGAGGGAAATGTGGTTGGAAGCAAAGATAAAGTGTTGCCAAAAAGGATGGTAGAATAAAGAATGATGAAGACATTTTAGATGTTTTATTGTCTGGAATTGGCCACAGATGGCAATGATTACAATAAATATGTTGGAATGTGGCATATTGCATATTTTCAAGAGGCTTCTAGTTAAAGTTCAGGAAGTGATAATAGTTTTTATTCGGTCATTTAGGGAGGCTTCTAAATATGACCATGCTTCTATTGCCGCCAGACTAGGTAGACGATGATGAAGCTATGATGAATATTCTGCAGCCAAGATTAGACATTTAGGGGGAATATGACATAAATAATGCAATAAATGTAATGATCTTTAATATATGTGCCTGAGAATTGGTGCATGGAGGCGGAGGAAGGACCTTGATTGAAATCATGCACCTTCCAGTTTGCACATTAGTGACATGTCCCTGGCCTCAGCAGGACATCTAACATCGATGAGGCCAATGGCACCCAATTTTAATTTTAAGCCAATTCTCCCCAACTATTTTGCTCTTTTAATCTCAGAATCAAAAGCATAGTCTATTGTTAACTGTGATGCTAGATGAGTATTTTTAAATGACCTTTATAAATCTCCGAGGACTTCCTGTTTGGCTCCTTGAAGCTGCTTGATTTCTTACATTTAGCACAACTTAACCATGTGTGTTCATTCTTGTGTAATGTGAGTAACTCTGACCTTATCCCAGCATGTAGTAACTACATTTATGTAGTGCCCAACTTCAGTGAAAGCGAGCTCTGGCAGCTGTGGTAGAGAGGTATAAAATATGTGGAACCGCCAACCAAATGCTTCAAATGAATTTATGTCTCTCTCTCTCTATATATATATATATTTTTTTTTTTGAGTTGGAGTCTCACTCTGTCGCCCAGACTGGAGTGCAGTGGCCGCTCCCGGCCACCGCAGCCTCCACCTGCTGGGCTCCGGCGATCCTTCCGCCTCAGCCTTCCGAGTAGCCAGAATTACAGGCATGCGTTACCACACCTGGC